GTTAAAACAGTTAAAAGGAAACAAATAATGTATGATAAGAAGTTATAAAGGGTAAGTCTCTATAGTTCTTAATAGAATAAATTTGGACGCAGAAGGCTTACTTATCTTGTTCATAGCAGTAGAAATGGAGAATATTGAGAATTTTTTTCAAGTGTAATAAATGAAGTTGCAGTTCACAAAAGTATGATGTGAATATATAGATGGATTAAATAGGGCATACACGAATATACGAATAAGTTAAAGATTGCAATATGCATCTGGTTATAAAAAGTAACAACAATATATCAATATCTTTCATATTATATTTAAAAAAAATCCAGAATATATGGTTAGATAATTTAATTTATACATAATTTCTTCATAAGAATATTAGTTCGAAATTATCGAAGCACAATATTATGTTACCATATATTACGGTTTAAATCAAAATGTAAAGAGGAAAATCCAAATTTTTAAATATTTTTGTATGAGCTAAGTTATGTGAATTGGACGAAGAAGACTTGTGTAAATATTATGTCCATTTATCAAAAGCGAAAGTGAAAAAGTCAAACTGGTTGGTTGAAACAGTATTCCCAAGAAAACATAGAAATTTGGTGACATTGAATATTTTTTAACTACCCTATCCTATATAAAATATGAGGTAGCTTCTATTATAAACATACTTATAAAATTTACTCTGCAACCCTAAATGACTAATAAGAGATTAGACAAAAATGGAAAATCTCCAAGAAAAACGTTTATGATGAAAACGGATGACTAAAAATTAATCCACCACCATTGAACATGAGATTTGGTGTGGAAGAAACACCATCACCTCCTCCAATTTCTGAATCAGAGATGGAGCAAACTAATATGTGGGAAGAGATTAATGACTTTCTGAGCATATCAACTGCGAAGGCCATCGAGGTTCCTTCTAATGTAATTTAAACTTTAGAAGGAACCCAAAAAAAAAGATCAATACTGAGCATTGGATGAAATTGCGTAAGAAACGTTATAGTTGCATCGCGTGACATAATTATAAATAAAGAAACTCATAAAGGCTCGTAATAAATGTAATTTCCAAATCTACCGTAATAAATTGTATGGTACTAAATTTGGCATAATATGAAAAATGGCCGTTAAAATATTGTAGTAATATAATTTGGCAATATCTTATTATTATGAAAATGTAAAATATTGGATAGAAGAAAATGTCTATAAAGGAAGTAACATTTCTAAATTCAAATGAATTCTATATATAGATGGTATATGTTATATCCAAAACTATACATATATACTTGTAAAATATATTAACAATAACTACAATGATATTAAAGGACATAAGTAAATTGGCAATTAAACATTACCATAAATAAATACTAAATATTTCATTACAAATATACGAAAGTATGTTCAAACACATCCCAGTTTGATGGGAAAATATTACATAATGGGAACGTAAAACAGTTGGTATTAAAATATAAGTAGAGGGATTAAAGTTATGGCCAGCTCGGATCTCCATGGATATCGGTAAAAGGAAGCCTGATTGAAAACAATTTCAAGTTAACAATTGAAAAAAGATTAAAATAACCCATAAAACATACCAATTAGAAAATTACCAGTCAAGATAATCAGAAACCTCTTTTATGTGAGGATTGAAAAGTATTTCAGAATAGTCTCCAGCATTCCTTATGCGATATCTCCCTATATGATTTACAAATATAAAGGGCACAAATGTTAGAAGCCAAATTATCATATAAACAAAGTCGAAATGAATGTTCCCACTCGATTATAAAATTTAATTCCTAACCTTCAGAATCATAGGTCAGACGAAACATGCGCAAAGTCAAGACTGTTTCATAAGTACCTATGTCTTCCCACTTCTTCCAGAAATCCAGAGCAGTCTTCCCAATGAGTTCGATGTCCATATCATTATAACTAAACCAAAAATTATATTACAACAACATTAACTAAAATATAAATACTCTGAATTATAAGACAAATTATTGGCATTTACATATATAGATGATAATAAAAAATATCTTACTTCATGTCCCTTAATGTCCAATTTGTGAGAAGGTCCAAAAATCATCTTGTATGGGTCATCAATGTCAGTACTTAGTTCATCATCAACATAGATGATTACGCTGATCAAATCTATAGAGAAACAATTTTATTATACAATATTTATAACCCTATATATGAATTGAATAAAGGTGAGAAGCCTAACCGATAGAGTACTCAGTAGGGAAATTCCCTCGCATAATGGCATCAAATGGCATAAAATCCATCATATGCTTAAGATTGACTTGAAAGGTCTTGTCTACAACAGTATCGGCGTTCATGTTGATGAAGTGGTAGTTTATAGTATTTCTGAAAGATCCGAACGCATTGACAACGTTGAATAATTTGACATAATTCCATTCTCCTTCTTTAAACTTTGGACCGAGAGAAGAAATAAGATCATGATCTATCGATGCCTCTATTTTGTAACCCTAAATTCGTGAACCAAAAAATCATTTCAGAGATTCATGTGTTTAAATGTTCATAACATGCAACAGAATAAAAAAATTTTAAAAGATGAACTTACATTTTCGTCACCGAGGAGAAGATGCAATTCCTGGCGTTGATTATGGTAGTTGTATTGTTCCAAAACTCGTAGAACTTTTATAAGGATTCTGGAGTCAGATTCTGTGGGAGAAAGATACTCAAGGGTACAATAGCGAAGCATGTTTGAGGAAAGTTGTTGTTTTCTGAGACTTTAGGTTTGTTTTTAGTTAAGATGACGAGAAGTTTTTCTACTTGGTCCTTTTATATGTATAGGAAAGCAAGTATAGGGTTTGAAAGGTTGTGTCGTTTTATAAAATCCGAATAAATAGCAACATTTGACATTTATTGCATTAAGTGACTTACGAACAAACCAAAATGGTTACATTCAATTCATTGGTATATTGACTTTTATATTGATTAAATATATATATATAGTAAAATATGTAAAGATGGTAGGAAAATGTCATATCTTGTACTGACTACTTCTTTTTAATAGTCAATTACTTCATTTCATTAATTATAAATAATTAATGAGAGTACAATACTGGAATTTATGTATTCTATTTTTTTTTTACAGACACAAATCACGGACCATCCAAATTTTGAATATCATAGTTATTTTTTGTTGAAAACAAATAGAATACGATTCTCGCCAATATACCCAATAAAATTTAATTGTTATTTAGAAAATATAAAATATTGTCATTGGATAAGTTATCTCAATCAGAATAATATAGAAGTATGGTTTAACACTATAAAAATAAGAAATAAGAAACAACAATCTCTTTTGCCAAAAAAAAAAACAACAATCTCTTTTACTGAGGCTGGTCTTCATATTCATCATGGACCGGAGGAAAATCATTTGAAGATGCGAGCCTGAAATAATATTAGGATTTTTTATCATTATTATAAGCATTATGTCAAAATAAGTAATATGACTATCATATATTTAGAAATATTATAATATAGGATACAATATCAAAGATGGAATAAACATACCTCAATCTTGCACTTTCCACTTCTGGGGTAGGAGGATCCTCGAGAATATCAGATATGAATCTTTCCGATTCAACTATCCATTCATCTAAATACATAGACATGTGTATTATTTAGAAAAAATATATATGTAAAACTTGTAATTAATTAAAAATATCAAATAATGAGGTAGATAGTTACCTCTCCATCTAGTGAAAGAGAAAAGTCGCAATACAATAATATGCCTAGAAGACCTTTCACGATTCGTCCAAAGATCTTCAAATTTCCTTGCCAAGTTATCCCAAGCAATACATTTCAAAGTTTCTCCACTGTATATTTAAATCATTTAGATTATTATTAATATACTTTAAAATTTATAAAAAAATATACAAATAACAGATGTTCTGAGAATAAGTTGTACAGACCTGAAATCTTAAATTTTAAAATGAATAAGTGGACGTTCCGTGGGTGTGTCCGATGTATCGGACATAGGAACTCCTAACTGAAGTTTCTGAACAAATATGACAACGCCGAGAAGATCAACTGCAACAATAAAGGACTGCCTTTAAATACATGTTGGAGTTCCTTAGATAAACGATTTTAAAAAAAAAAGTTGTAAGAAACATACCAAGATATCTATCTGTATGAATAAATCTATATAAAATATTCATGAATGCACAAAATGAGTATATTCCTCTTGAAGACTTCAGATCGGGTTTCTCAACAATGGTATCCTCGAGGAAATGTATATGATAGTTGTTTGATGATATACTTGGACGAATCACTCTGTCAGTAACTTCAAAATTACCAAGAAAAACTCAATCTCCTCCAACCAATTCATACTTGAATTTGTCCATTATATCATATTGAATAGTAGACAGGATGTGATTGCCCTACACGGTTTATAAGAATAAATAATTTAGGAAAACATTTTTAAAACATATATACGGTAAATTTTTCAAACTTAAAAAACTTACAAATTCATCCGCAAGAACTAACATCCGATTAGGTCGATCGAAGAGAGTATAATCATAATAATCTCTTAGTGTCTGTACACAAATACGATATCCGCCGTTTGACTTCTGAAATTCGAAAAGTCTTTCACAAGGAGACATCTTTGTTTTAATATTTTTGTGAAGATTGAAGTGAAAGAGAATAAGGAATGAATAATTTTCTATGTGATGGAGTAAAACGGTTACGGTTCTAATGACGTCTTAATTGAAACTCTCGTGTAAATTTATGACAGTTAGTTGAAAAAAATATCACAAATTAAAGTTTCAAAAAAATATAATTAAGGAAAAACAATCTAGGGCAACATTAAAGTTCCACGATGAAATAAAATACGCCAAAAAAGTTCCACAAATACCGCAAACAAAATAAAGAATAGAGTTAAAGCGTTAACCACCCATTGGAAAAATTGGTTACAAATATCAAAAGCAATAATCAATCACTAGCAATGCATTTCTGCAATAAGTTCATTACGATTTCTTGCCTCTTCATAACTTCATTGGGATCTCTTTCTTCGCTCGCTTTTTGTTAACAGATTTTTCACCTTCATCCAAATAGTCGAGACTCTTAATTACCTTCTTAGACGAAGGAGTGAGTGAAGATCCAGACAATGGATTCTCAAGTTCGTCAAAACTCGTAAGCATCAACGGTTGCTGAAGACATGTACATTGTTGACGTCTTAATTTAACTAAACGATCAGATAAGCGAGCTTTAGAAGTCTGTAAAACTTTATCATATATTACCTCTGATTGAGAATCCCACTCAGTCATAATGTCGACATCTTGAGACCATAGTTCTACTACATACGGAGACTGGCTTCCTTTATGTTCTTCTGAAACTGTTATTTTGAAAAGCATCCTCATAGTTAGAAGCTTTGTCAAGCCATCAGGGAGCCCTCTTAGTAAATCATGCGCATCATTATATATAATGGATTAATATTATTTCAGAAAATATAAATAATACATAATGTATATAATTATTACATAAATAACCTCATCATTTTGTTCCATTATAGACTCAGCTGAATGACCTAACAATCTTTGAGCAGTGTCATCAAACATCAGGAAGCGGACATCGACGTTTGAATCATCAGTTACAAATAATACAATGTAGTACCTACATTGTTTGAAAGATAATAGAAGAGTGAGTTATTTAAATGTTACAATCATAAACATGTAATGTAATGCCGGAATAAATGTATGATGAGACGAATCAATGTAATAAAATAAGGCGCACATTTAGCCAGTCAATCAGAGAAAGTCTACATGAAATAATTCTGCTATATGTGCTAGATATATTACCTAAGAAAGTCTTAATGAAACAAGTAATGTTTTCTTGACTTTATGGGACAAATCATTGTATTACCTTGCGACGATGGTACCATATGAATAAATATCACCACAATTTTTGCAACTGAAAAGAGGAATCCTCTTATCGTAATCTTCATCATCAGACATAATTCCATGCTCTAAAACTTTGATGTTGCAAGGTTTGCATGCCCAATAATACCATAGCTTTGAAGTGTCAACGTCTTTGACCATAATGCCTGTTACAATCTTGCCAGGCTATAACAAAACCATTAATATGTATATAGTTAAATGTAAATATATTTATACCATTTTCAAAATATATAGCTCATACCACTTTTGTATCATGAATTCCAGATATCGTTAGCCTCCTATTTTTCACACCTAAATATTCTTCACGGTAGTCAATAGCACCACCCCGAGAAGTCGAATAACTCTGTTTAACATGCACAATCATTTGATTGTTTTTTGGCAACCTACAAAAACGTAAACAATAATTATATAAATAAAACAATGTTAAAATGATATTAAATTGTCACAAAACATACTTTTCTCTGAAGTCTTTCACGATCTTGACGTCATGATCAAACACAATTTTGGTGGAGTTGAAAGCGTTTGATATTAAAATGTCACTTATACTCGGAAAACATAAAATAAGAATAATTAACAAACTAATCCAAACTCAATCTCTACAAACTGTATATATATGAATAGAGGATATAGTGATCTAACATTTGTACTCTTTTATACAGACAAATCGCATTACACACACAACAATAGCAGCCATATGTTTGTCAGTGTACTCAACAGTTGCTTTTGTATATTGTCCCCATAGTGTACATTTCAGTTGGACATCGTTTCATCAGTAAACATATTAGCGTTACATTGTTAAAATATTGTTATGTTTATTTTGGTATGATATCATAACTACTTACTTGGTATCCTGGAGTGTTATCATACATGGTGACAAATTGTCCAATGACATCTTCAAGAAAAAAATATTTGTATACAATGATAAATATGTACATTATAATATAAATTTCATAATCAAGATGATGACATACCGATGAGGACGTTTTTGTCGAGTTTGTCTTCCTTGATTAACTTGAAATCAGACAAATATTTCTCTGGCAAATCTGATGGAAAATCATTAATCTCCTTATTACGGGTTGTCCTGCACAAAGCGATCTTGTATGGTAATAGAGTCGTCCTAAAATCACCATAGTATTCTTTAATTATGAAACAATTAATAGAAAGTGTATTTTCCTTCTATAAGGATCCCTTTATGTTTTGCGATCAATTCTTCATCAACAGTAGTGTGAATACTAGTGCCCTGTGAAACACACGTAAATAGTATTACTATATAATCTATAGATTACTTAAAATAACAATAAGAAAAAGACATAAGATCGCATACAAACCTCTTCGTCAACCAATACTATTTCTATAACAAAACCAGACTGCCTATTCTTGACTTTCCAAAATGAAAATATAGTAGCTCTAACTTTCTGAATTTCACTTGATTGATCTAATTTGGTAAATGGAACTATAGCAGCTGAACGTCTGCGGACTAAAGCCATTTTAGTGAATGAGAATGGTAGAGTTTTAGGGTTTACGATATGTGGTATATATAGGGAGAGGAAGTTAATGAAAACATTTTAAAAATGATGTTAGGCGGGATTGAAATTATTTTGAGAAAGAGAATGAAATGAAGAATATGGATATTCGGAATGTGCGTAGAAGTAGGTATTGTTGCGGGAATATTTGAGAATTAATATATTCGAATTGATTTAATTGCCAAAATTGATGTCTAGTATTAAACTGTAACATAAATTATTGTTTCTTTTTGAAAAATTAAAATTTCTGTATATTTTGTTACATTAACTCCGGTAAATCCTGCTAATAGTTAATGTAATCTTTCATTTTGGGAATAATTTCTATTTTCTTACGTAGAAAAGTTTTTAAAAATCCATAATTTCAATAATTTCATAAATGGGCTTGTATGACGTATAGGGCCAAAGGGTGTTTTTAAAATACTGATAATTGGGCCGGGTCGGGTATAAAGATCCGCGTGTTTATCCGTTTATGACTTTCTATTCTTTTTTTTTTTTTTAATCAAAAAATTTTGGACAGAAATTACACATCAGCATCATCATCCAATGAAATTGCGCAGAGCTAGCGACCTTGACATGTCACATTTGTCGTGGAATAAACGTCATCATTGACGTTGACAAGTGAGATTTTCTAAGCCAATCAAATTAAAACAAATCAGATTTTTTCATTAAACTACATTCTCATTTAATATATATGATATAATAATTAAGGAAAATCAATAATAGAAAGACTATAAAAATTCAATACAATCATAATTAAAACATCACCATCAAAAGTCTCTATTTATGTTAAACTTCTATTAAAGTTTAGTATATATCAAGAAATTTTCAAATATATTTGATGTATATCATTCAATTTTTAAGAATTATTTTAGAATTTTTTTTTTTAATTTGCAGAAATATTCTTTCGTTCAATGTGTATATATAAGTACATAAATTATCCATAAACTCAAATATAAAATTATTATACAACTTTTTAAATGTATAAAGCTCGCGCTTGGCTCGAACAGTCACCTAGTTTATAGCTAAATTCACAAATTGTTAGGAGATTTCCAAGATTTCAAGATCGAGTTGGAAGGAAACTTAACATATCTGTATAGGTAGATTTTTTATTATCAAATGTAAATAACTTTTTAGTGAAAATATTCTTTTGTATAAATAAGAATAATGGCCAAATCAATAATACTGGTAGAAACTGTTTATACTTTTAGGTTTCCTCCATATTTGACACAAACCAAAGTCTTTCAGCCTCCGCAATTACTTGTTTATGCACATTTCAAATGAGCATCTCGTACCCATAATTCATCGAGTAGATACCGATCTTTGTTGTAATCCAACAGCCGTAATGTCTCCGTTTAATCAAAGACCTTTGTTAACGTATGATCTCGACATTAACAGGAGGATTTGAGTTTTGATTTAACAATCTTATAAAATACATAAACTCAAAATTATACATAATCATAACAAATGATGTCAAAACCAAATTAAAACATCAGCAACTACATCCTTAACTTAAATCAAATCATTAGTAAGACATGCTAACAATAACACTTCAAATGTCGATATATAAAAACTTCGCAAAGTGTACACCGTCTTTGTCCTAGGCATAGTGATTAGATTTTTGTTAAAACGAATAAAACATACTATAATTACAAACTGAAATAGAACAAACACAAAATATGTATATGTCATTATCTTTTTTCTGTAGGGGCCTAAAGATTATATGTCTCTTTGTTTCTCTCTTTTGAAACATATACATTCTTAAATCATGGAGAGAGCCAAATCCTCTCAAATAATTCCGTAATTATTGTCTAGTTTACATAAATTAAAATCTACTGTATTTGCTTAAAATATAAACAAAATAAAATTTAATTACGAAACGCGACATATCTAAATCCTAAATTACAAACTATGCCATTGCAATTGTATCTTCTAAAATGATTTTATTTTCTCTTCCCAAAAAGGCAAAATCTCACTGCTACTTCTTCTCTTCTCCTCCATAGCCAAATCTCTCTCTTTCTCTCTTCTCTTCTCTCTCTCTCTCTCTTCTCTTCTCTCTCTTCTCTCTCATCTCTCTCCTCTCTCTCTCTTCACTCATTGGGTCTGATTGGATCCGAAATGGAGCCATGGGTGGACGATTTAGCCGACGATTTACAGAGTGTGAGCTTTACATCCGCCGGAACCACCGTGAATCGAAGCACTAGCTCCGGCTCTCGCTCATCTTCCTCCGCCGCAGCTCTTACTCCGGCGCCATCCTTTTCCTCCGCTAAACTCCCTCCGTCACTCCGATCGTCTCTCTCCCTCTCCGATCTCCGATTCCGTCTCCGTCTAGGCTCCGGCGACATCGGTTCCGTTTTCTTAGCCGAATTCAAATCCGCAACCGCCGTCGAAACCGCCGGGAAGTTACCGCTCTTGGCCGCGAAAGTGATGGATAAGAAGGAGCTCGCGAGCCGGAGCAAAGAAGGTCGAGCGAAAACGGAAAGAGAGATCCTCGAGTCGCTTGACCATCCTTTCCTCCCGACGCTTTACGCGGCCATAGATTCTCCGAGATGGCTCTGTTTGTTAACGGAGTTTTGTCCCGGCGGTGACCTCCACGTTCTCCGTCAGAAACAGCCTTATAAACGCTTCCACGAATCCGCCGTCAGGTAACCGCCGTTACAGTTTCCGTTTATGTCCTTGAAAATTCAATATATTCAGTTTCCAAAAATATTTAAAATTCTTTGGGAGTATTATGAAGTGAAAATTAAACAAAATAAAAAATAAAAATGAAAAGAGAAAAGGAAGGCTGATGAAATCAGGGTAGTGGGACCCGCCAGCTGGCCATTGTCTCGTAGTTAACAGTTAAATACATAACAGAATTTATGGCTTTGTGCTTCCCCTGAACCGTAATTCACTAGATTATTGCCTGTTTAACGGATAATTATGCATTAATTAAATCATACACCTTTAGGTTTGTTACTTCTAATCCTGGTGAAAATCTCATAAATTTAGCATAAACCGAGTTTTGGATTTCCGTAATTTCGTCCGGAAATTAGCGTTTTTCCGTAAACTCAAGCCTTGTTATTAAAAATGTTTCCAAATTTGTTTTATTGATTGATGTGCTCGAATCTCGATAATGGTTTTTTTGGGTAATTAGAGAAAGTCTATTTATGTCACACGAAAAAAAAGGAACTAGAAAGTTGAAAGTCTATTTAAATTTAATATTTGTTTGTCGGCCTATTTAAATTTTTTTAAAACTCATAGATTTATATTGTTTTTTTATAAAAAAAATATTTTTAGCAGAAGTACGCACGATTACATGTGTGCGTATATCGTAGGGCACAATTAAGTTGCAGTCTAGTGCGGACACTTAAAATAAAGTCAAAACGAGTTGGGGTTTGACTTTGAGTACGTAACAAATGACTTAATGACACGTGTAATTATGTAGTGGGACCGCGTGATTAAATTGAATCACGTAGCATGCTGGAAAGGAGGTTTTGAATATTTTTTTTCTAACTTGGCATGTGGCTTCAGTACAAGCACATCCGCTAGGCAGGTTCTTGTAACAATTATTACAACTTTGCCATTGAAACCGGTGGTTATTAATATTATGAATTTACTATTAATATATTATTTAGAAAACAGTATCATAAAATAATACAAAAATTTTTTTTATCAAACTTAGCATTTTAAATTAGAATTTTGAAAATAGCACAAAAAATACATCTAAAAAATTCAATATTATATTTGGGTTTTCATTTCTTTTTGTTTGTAACAAGGGTAAGGGTTTTCTATTTCTCATTTAAGGTTTACTTTTTCTACTAAGAACAAAATTTTGATCATGTTAATATAAAATTAGGCTATT